TGTACCCATGTGTACATATATACAGACACATATATGTATAGATGTCATACGTTATACTGCCTCGATTACCGCATCACCACCGCATAGTCGGCAACGGCGCGGGCGTGGGAGTCACAGTCGTTTCCGGATATTTTATTATTATCATGTGCGAGCAAGCGATGTGTAATAGCTGCCGCATAGTATGCCTAGTGCCAATTATGACCTGGTGACTGCAACTTTGTTGGCTGTCGTGTACGACCAACGACGCACGATGGTCGCAAAATTTTTGGCATTGCGTTAAAAAAGAGAAAAAAATGAAAAAAAAAAACAAAGTATCGCTTCTTCTCTGTGAAGTGTATGTGAAAACTTTTTGGTACTTCGTAGACCCTACGCTTGCCAAAATTACGAGTTACTAAGTCTAAAAATATATATATTTCGGTAGATAGCTCCTGCATACAATGGAATTGCTAAATCAAGATCTTTTTTAATTTTTTTTAGTTTTTATTTTTCATCATTGGCAAGAATACCTATGAAATTACATTCTCTTTTTATCACGCGGTGACGCGTGTGTACATGCGGTGCGTTCAATTGTTGGGCGTCTACTTACTGGCGCCTGCGGCGGCGGGTGATGATAATTGCCTCGATAATTGCCATTATCAACGATGTATTTTTAATCGCAATCGTCACTTGGTTCTGCTGTCACAGCTGCTCTTTTAATCGCATGTTCCTGCTTATCTGCGTCCAAGCGGTTTGAATTACTTTTCTACGTAATGCCACGAGGGCCTTTTTTTTCTACCGCGCATTTGCGTCATTTGGACTAATTATTACCTCGTTTGATGCATGTGTGATGATGATGAAGAACTTGAACATTTGGTACGACTACGTGCATCGCTATTTGTTAAGATTTTGGTTGTTGATTTATTTTATGTTTGGTTTTTTGTGCTTTTCTCTTTCAATCAGTTTGTAATACATGGTGGTTCACAAATCCACACATGATGCATTAATTAGTTAACAAACATTTCAATGAAAAATAATGGAACTTACGCATACAAAATTACATTAAATTCTAGAAAGTTGTCTACGACCCTGAATAGGGCCATTTTGGTGACATATTTTTGTCCTATTGCCGTGAACAACGTATTGGCCTTTTTTCTATAATGTTCCTATATATATACATATACACTTGTACTCATCCATATCAATTTTTATTTTATCTAACACTGCTACTGCAGTTGTGAATATGACCCTAAGTTCTTAAGTTTACACATCTACGGGGTAGAAGAAAACCCACAATATGAAGGAATATAACAAGAAATTAATTTTTGTATAATAAAGAACGTACATAAATTCGCAGTATTGCATCATTGGATTTTGATGAAACTGTAGGAAATCACAATAAAAGGGTGGGGACACCCGTAGATTTTTGCCAAATTTCCCACGAATAAGTACACTGAGTTGGAAACAAAATTTTATTGTTTCTGTTCGACGATACCCTCAAGGATTTTTCATTTTTTACAACTTCTCGTTAATCCTGCCAAAAAAGAATTGACTTTACCATTCCGTCCCCAAACAGCAACTCGATCACCATTGACACGTACTCAGGATTGTCAATCGCAACTCTTGTAAGTATATTATGTTCAATGAAAAAAAAAAAAAAAAAAAAGGTTCATTGACGACCCCGTAAATTGCACACTCGGTGTGATTCAGAGCAGCATTGATACACCGCGACGAAATGAGTAATGTCCCAAAAATTCAGAACGGGAAAGAGAGAGTGTAAATTCCCTTTGACGGCCCTATACAGTATAGGGAGAGAAGAGGAGCGCAAGTGTGTATGAAACACGAGTGCAAAGAACGAAACTATAAGTACTGCCGCGCAAGTGAGAGTGAGGGACGAGACAGCACCGGCAGCGCACGAGAATGAGCGGCTGAAAGTCAGAATGAACGGCGGAGCCTCGTTTGTTCCGTGCGCTGCGGCCGCGGGGCAGGGGGAGGAAGTTGTATTCAAGAAAATGAGGCGCGAATCCGAGAAAGGAGGAGAGAGAGAAGGTCAGAGAATCGGAGGAGACGGGGGGGGGGGAATGGAAGTGAAAAGAGAGGAGTAGAAGACTGTTGCTACTGTTTGGTTGCAACGGAGAAAGAGGAGATTACCTCCTCTCTTGCAGCGTCAAACGGCGGTGAGCGCACTTTTGGTGAGTAAAGTACTTAAGGGCGAGCGCACGGAAATAACGCGCACACACGCGTGCTTGCAGGCTACGTGGTTCTTGTTGTTATTTACCTCAGGTATACAATCATTCAGAGTCTTCTTCGTCACTGACATCTTCTTTCATCTTGGTGACGTAGTGGAAAACGCCCTTATACCTGTGTACTCGTCACGGCTGCTGCTGTTACTATGCGAACCCCCCACCCCAACACTACATTTCGTAGCATAGTCGTGTGATGGATGATTGTTGGTGGGGTACGTTACGTATACATGAGCAGGAGTTGAAGAATCTTGTAACTCTCGCGATCTGCTGTGCTGGGGACTCGCTTCTTCTGTTGCCTGTGCCCCCATTGACAAAAAATGAGCTACCATAAGTACAGTATAATACATATAGCTAGTTGTTTGAGTTAAGTTCATTTTATAGGGATCGAGAACTATTGGTGCTCAGCGATGGGGTATTGGAAGTCTCCGAAAGAAAATAACCTTTGAAATAATTGTGCTAACACCGTTGACTATTGTCAATCCATCACCCGGGGACTTTTTACTTTTTGAAACCTGATTTTCACTCAGCTGAACTGTAATAATAGTTCTAACGATAACATTGTTCTAAAGAGTAAAAAATAGGGGTTTCCTTGGTAAGAAAAAAAATTTTCTAGACGCCTATAAAGTATGTACACTACCAGAACAGTAATTTTATGACTTTTCTTTTCTCACAGTACATCTAAAATTTCACTTTATAAGTACAATTATGTACTTACGTTACAATTAAGTACAATTACGTGTTGGTATCAATGTCAAACTTTAATTCTACGTAAATCTATTAATGTTAAGATCAAGTGTGAAACTCAATGAGTCACAGCGAAAATAATATATTCTCTTAGTTCAACTGTTGCGTTTTTACTATGAATCATAACTATTAGTTTAATGTACAGGGTGCCTTGAAATATTGTCATATCGGTGTCTTCGATCAACTTAGAAGTGATGAACCTAATTATGACAGACCAATTAGTTGATACGTTAATTGTCATCATTGTCATGCACACAGACATACACAGACTATACGATATTAAATTCTAATGGCGGTTCAAAGGTTACCATACCATTATGAGAATCAACAAATTGATCTCTCAGTGTGCCAGCAATCCCAACTGGAAATACAACCCTGCAACACCAGCCAGTGAGTGTGTATGTGGAATAGGCACACATTGTAACATTTTAAACGTGATGGATCTTGCATTGTTAAAAGTGAGGAGGGTGGCGGGTGGGAGGAGAGAGTTTTGGTAAGGTCGTGCGGACGGAGGAAACATGAATGAAGTCCATCGCGAGACGTGGGGAGGGGGGCAAATATGCTTGTCGGCTGTACGTATCACCGCCTGGTATGTGTGCATCAGGGAGGCCGACGCTTACGTGACCTCCTCGCGGTGCAACAGCGGCTCCCAACCTTCCGTGTAATATTATGGACACTGCCATGTACGAGTATATGATTACGGAATTTCTCTCTGCTGATGCTTTTTCGTCACTGCAGGGGTTCAATCGGGGTATTCGATATGTCGAGAGTGAGATGAAACGTGGTGTAACCGTAACGTATTTCGAATGCAGTTTAAGGTGATTGACGTCTTGATACAACTACACTTTTTCGATACTTATATTGTGATAATATCGCACAGCACTTTTTTTCCCTCGCTTGGCATTTTATTTTTTTCTTCCCCTCTTGATGGATCAATGCTCGTATGGTCGAGACAAAAGACACGCGATGCTCCTTAATAAACGTGTAATAATCATTCGTTGTATACATTGTAAGGAGCACGGTTGGTCCATCAATGTGTTGTGGCACAATTGCAGGCTTTTTTTTCTCGTGTACGTGCCAATGTTGAATTTTTATCAAGAAATTCCATGAAAATTAAAGCTCCTTCAATTGTAACTCCCGCAACACCGGACACCCATCAATAGGCAATGACGTTTTGACGCTTTGAACCTCAACTGGAATCTCATGGACAAACATTTTTGACACCCTCAGATCTTGAGTTAAAGCTTGTTTCGCGCACTTTTAATTGTTTTTTTTTTTTTTTTTTTTTTTTTTTTTTTTTTTTTTTTGTAACTTTTTCCCAAACTTGAGTGAAAACTGTAAGAGATATGCAACAATTCTCACTGATTATGTTCTTTTAATGATGTTATAATGCATTGTTTGTTTGCCTGTGGCGGGATGAGTGAAATCTTTTATTTGATTTAAAAATTTTCTTCTAGATAAGCAGATAAAAATGTTTTTCATGACTTTTTGGCGTTTGTTGTATCCCCAATAGGACAAATTCAATATGGTGAATAAGCTGCGAAACCTTACCTGATCACGGCAATCACAAAAGACCATAGGTATTACTCTGGTAGATATTTGCTGCCAGGTGTAATGAATATTTTTTGACAAATTTATTATAAATTTTTTTTTTAAGGTCTTAAGCAGACAAACGTAGTAAATATTAACTAATGTTAACAAATTTAAACAATCCGTAATATAATTATTATCAAATTAGTAAGTGCTAAGATAAAACCAATAAATACATTTGAATGAAAAATGTATTTACACCTTGAATTATTTCTAGTGTGAGACTAAAATGCTACCATACCGTGATGCTGGGAAAATCATTATTTTCATAACCTATGAAGCAATCTCCACGGAAACAGTTGTGTAATAATTATATAAGAAAGCACATAATGTAGGCCCTATTAAATATTGATTATTTTTTGCCTAATTTAATGTCAGTTAATATATTATTGAAGCTCGTTATTCTACAATCAATCGTTTCATCCTTGACAGAATTTAGTTAACATGAATTTTGTAAGATGCAAAAGTTCCGTAGAATACAATTTTTTCATGGGCGTAAATAATCATTAGAATAATTAACCTAACCAATTTCTTATTAGCCTAATAGAATTACATGTAATACATAAATTAAATTATTGAATGTGTTTTTATTGCAGGTTGATGGAATGGATGTTTTGGCTGTAAGAGAAGCAACAAGATTTGCTATAGATTACTGTACATCTGGGAAAGGACCACTCGTTATGGAAACATTTACATATAGATATAGCGGACATAGTATGTCAGATCCAGGAACGAGTTATAGAACAAGAGAAGAAATACAGGAAGTTAGACAAACACGAGATCCTCTAACAAGTTTTAAAGAAAAAATTTTAAACGTTGGTCTCGTAACAGCTGATGAAATAAAGGTTAGTTGCAAAGAAGAAAAACATATTCTGAATTAACTTATCAAAAAACTTTAATTTGGGATATTAACCGACCAGTTTTACTTTTTATGNTAGAATGTACATACATATATACACATAGAGTAGGAGTATACTATCGTTTTTCCGAAGTGCACGGCAGGAGCCGAGTCGCGTGGCGAGTTCCTCCACAGCGGCAGACATGCAAATGAGCGAGCGAGAGTTGTGACGTTGCCCGGGGGAGGGGGTGATGAGTGGTTCGGGGGCTGATTACTACGTGCGGCGAGTACCGGGGCGGGTTGTGTGGGTGTTGGGGAAAAAAAAAAAAAAAAAAGTCGTAGTAGGTGGCTGGCTGGCGCGTAGTAGAGAGGAGATGCAGGGAGGAGGAGGAGGAGGGAAACGGACGGAAAATTCAGCGATGAAAGAGTACATGCGAGAGATGGCGGGGGGGAGCAGACAGGTGAGCGAGAGGACGACGGCGACCTCCCCACTTTTGGCGTGTAAAGAGAGAGAGAGAGAGAGAGAGAGAGAGAGAGAGCCTCGTGAAGGGAGAGGGAGGGAATGGCCTGATTGAGAGCCTCTACACGACCGCGTTAATGAATGATATTTTTTTCATTCAGCCGCGCCCTGGCCTACATTTCGCTCGCTCGGGCAGGCGCACCTCGCTCGCCTCCTCCCTCTCGACTGTTGTTGGTGTAATACTCGTGCTCGTGTGGCTGCTATACACACACATATGTATATATACGTATGTGTGTCTATATATATATATTTCACTTTCCTGTGCGCGCAACACTGCACTTCGATCTAAACGCGCTGTCCCAGCCCTCCTTATACTATATGCTCGATCTTCCCTCCATGGGCTGCTGCTACTCACTACTGCTGAGGTTGAAAATTACTCGAAAATTGGTGGGATAAAATGTAGTTTGTCTAGTATAAGTCGTTGTATAAACTCCCTACAAGTCTTAAATGCCTCCTGACGTTAAGTAAATTAGCAATTACGTACGTGCTTATAGGAACTAATTATAGACTGATTATACTATAATATTTTCGAGTGATGACGATGAGATCTCGAGCAATCGATGAGACTTCGCATGTATCGAATGCCACGATTTGTTGATACGAGTATAAGCTTGCTACAATGTGTCTTGTTATTGGAGAAAAAAAAAAATAAGGAGACGAGGTGTCAACGTGGGTGGGATTTTCCAATTTACGCACAATCGTAGCAGATTTTCCCACATACGATATAGTATATACGCGTTGAATATGCGCCTACCTCCACATATATCGCCATATGCACCTAAAAACTATTTAAGTATACGAAAATTTTTCATCTTTTGGTTTTACTCTACTGGCCGAATGTCTGACCGTGCGTTGACCTGTACTACTGAAAATCGTCACTTGTCTATTAATACTACTGCTACGTGTGATTTATCATGATGTAAATTTATTTTTCAGCATTTGCAGGATTATGTAACAATATAGTTATTATTATTATTATTTTTGGNATCTGCTTATTCTCAAGTTACTACATCAAATGATGTAAGTATTGGATTAAATGTCAAAGCATATCATGTAAAAAATGAATATTCAAATTTTTCATTTGTATTCATTTATTTGTGCGTCAGATCCCTGGGACTTTGAAATGTGAAGGCTGTTCCATTTATAAACTCACGGAAAATGACAAAAAAGAAATTTTGTTTGCCCACAACTCCCTTAGAGATAAATTGAGTCAGGGTATCGAAGGAATGGGTAACCCAAGGCCACAACTGAAAGCTATCAACTTAGAACATCTGGTAATCGAAAGTTTTAAAAAATTCCTTGTAAAAATGGTATAATTTGAAACTTTATTTTTATAGCAATGGGACGAAGTTTTAGAGGAGGAAGCTTGGAATGAACTCTATTCGTGCTCATCTGACCTGGACTTTCGTGATTGTTTTACATATCTCTCTAATCCTTTAACAGGTCACAACTATGACTACATATTTAATTCCTCCAACTCAAGTGATTCTGTGCTATCTATTGTTAAGAAATGGTCCTCTCAAGCGAATACGTTCAACCACGAACATGCCAGCTCTTTAACGTAATTAGCTACGATCAATTGAAAAAAATGTAAAAAATAACCATATTTATTCTACAAAATTATGTATTCTTTAGCGCAAGTGATCTCACAGCCGCTAGAGCGTACACTCAGATGGTTTGGAGTAGAAGCACGAAAATTGGATGCGCTGCTTTCAAAGAAAAAATAGTAGAATACACCGATATGACTCACTTGATTTGCAAGTACAGAGAACCTGGAAACATTATTGGTCAACCAGTTTACTTTACCTCGTCTACTGTCCTTCATCAACCTCCAACTGGTATTAATAGTATGACAACAAGTTTCAAAACTAACATACCAAACCTTCCTACTAATGACGGACAAGTAGTTACTGGTGATATGACACCAAAATTCAATACTAACATACCAAATCTTCCTACTAATGACGGACAAATTATTTCCAGTAGTATGATATCAAATTTCAATACTAACTCGCAAAACTTTCCTATTAATGACGGACAAATAGTTACTGGTGATATGACATCAAAATTCAATACTAACATACCAAACCTTCCTACTAATGACGGACAAGTAGTTACTGGTGATATGACACCAAAATTCAATACTAACATACCAAACCTTCCTACTAATGACGGACAAATAGTTACTGGTGATATGACATCAAAATTCAATACTAGCATGCAAAACCTGCCTCCTAATGACGGACAAATAGTTACTGGTGGTATGATATCAAAATTCAATACTAACACACCAAATATGCCACCTAATGGACAAATAGATATTGAAGGTATGATACCAAACTTCGCTACTAACTCGCAAAACATTCCCCCTAATGACGGACAAACAGTTACTGGTGGTATAACATCAAAATTCATTACTAACATACAAAACCTTCCTACTAATGACGGACAAATTACTACCAGTGGTATGATACCAAATTTCAATAGTAACTTGCAAAACCTGCCTCCTAATGAGGGACGAATGGTTATTGGTGGTATAACATCAAAATTTGCTACTAACATTCCAAATCTGCATTCTAGTGACGGACGAATTGGTGTTGATAGTTGGCGAATATCTTCTAATACTGGTCTGAATGACATGAGTAATCAAATCAATTCATTATTTGAAAAAATCCTTTTCTGTCTAAAGCAAATTATTCGGTCTTTGATAGATCAATTACCGTAAAATCTTTTACTATTTTTTTTTTTTTTTTTTTTTTTTTTTTTATTTTTTATTTTTTTTTTTTTACAGTCGCTCTTGTGGTATGCGTGGACGTGCTGCGAGTGTGTTTTTTGTTGTTGTATCTACTGTAATTATAGTGAAACAATCATACCTTGGTAAAATTTTAAATATATGAGAAAAATTGGACTCTAATAGCTTGACAAAATTTAAGATTGGCGTAAAGTGACTACTACTTTGGTTGGTTCGAAGATCCAAGAAAGATGATACTAAGCGTTGGTGTATCAGTCACCTGTGGAGATTCAGTAGAGACACTCACATTCGGTGAAACAGCAAAGAACATTTAAAGTTATAAAATTACGTTTTAGTAGTGGGTTGTTATTGTTATCTTATTCTTTTGTAATGCACTATACTTTTCTAAATTTCGTACGTACTTATTTATTGTGTCATATGCAGAAATATCCATGCCGCAGCAGCAACGATGCAGGACAAAGTTGTGAGCTGCTGCAGCGTGTTGGAAAACGATGCGTGACATCCAATTGTTGAAACGTTGAAATATGCCTTGGGTTAACCATTTGGACAATATCCAGGCATATTTTGCGAAACGAGCTGCAGAAAGTCAAATTTCATTGCTCTGCAAACTCGTTTTGGAAGAGAGAAGCTTCCATTTTTTTTTTTCACGCTATTACTGCACTCGCTTTTTTTTAAACATAGATCAGCACCAATTGTTAGTTTGTTTGTTTGTTTGTTTTCGTTAAAGTGCACAAAACTTCCACGTATGAACAAAACAACTGGTATTTGGATGGAAGTTTGTTGTTTCTACGACACTATCCTGTCGGAAACATTTAACGCTTTAATTTATGTGCTTTTGTTTTGGCAAGTGGAATTTTCAAAGATTCTACTTTAGGAACAGCGAATTTGGCTTGCATTGAATTTTTTTTTTTTTTTTTTTTTTTGTTTCTGCTACGCAAATAAGTACAATTTTATTTCTTGTATTTTCAAGTATTAACGTTTTTAGAAACCCAAACTCACCCAACAATCAACGCAATCGCCAATACACGACCTATAATCTTATCGACAAAATATAGACTAGATTTTTTTTTTAAACTCAACAATGCTTGTAACACACCTTGCGGACGAATGGATGGCAAATGATGAAACAAAAATTGATACGTCGAGCACATAAAACAAAACGACCAAGAGCCGAAATCCCGGGGATCGTATCACGAGATACAAATAGTGCATATACGTATCGCAAAGACACGATTGCCGCATGCATATTCAGTGGAATCGTTGTCTCTCGCGCCGTCGTCTTCCCCCCCTCCCCGGTGTTCGCTCCCTGATGGGCGCCCCTCCTCACGAGGCGGCCGAGCGCGTGCGCGAAAGCGGAGGATACACGTTTCCGGTGCTAAATTTATTGAAATTGATGTGTGGGATTTTGAAAAAACCACGGCGGTCCGAAATGTAGGCCACCCAAGTCGCAGAGGAAGAGAGAAGTGGCGTTAAGTGGGTTTTGCATAATATACCATGTTGCTTCATCGGTGCTGTGGATGCTTTGGAGGTTTTAGGACATGCACGCGTATACCCTATAGAAAGCGTGTGCGTTAACACAGTTGTTTAAGGGGGCTCCTACGACTACTGCTGAGGTCAAAGACAAACAAAAAATAAAGTTTTGTTTTTCAATAAACAAATGAGTCTGAAAATCATTATGATATTTTTAATAACGTATGAAGTGGGAAAAATGATATTTATGTGTGTAGTTTAACATTGTACGAAAAATTAATTATTGTTTTGACCAGTCTAGTGCATACGAGGGTACACCACCAGACCAGACCACCTGTGTTGGTGTAGTATAGCGATGTAATATATAGGTATACGGTATATATATGTCGTGAACAAGTACGTCTGCTACCCACGTGACCTCCTGACCTCCCGGACACTATTTATTTATTTCCATCACAACTATCTCGCTAAAATGGTCCTTTATCCACAATTTTTAATACAGCATATCACAGAGGAAGACTTCATCTACAAAACGCATACATTCAGTCTGCTGGGACATTTAATTTAGGTTTATTATAAACGAAAACAAATTGTTTTTCACGCTGCCCCATAGGAACACGTGCTAATAGTTACAAATTTGAGCTCGGATTTCTTAAAATTTTAACCCATTCGAAATATAATTTAGACCACCATTAAATTCAGTAGATTTTTATTTACAAGAAATAATGTATCTCTGTTTGGGGACTTTCGTGAAGGAGCCCCCTTAAGTAGTATGCCACTCTTAGTAACAGCGTGATGCGATTCGTGCAATGGTATTCTTCGTTTCTTACTCAATTTTGGTACGTGATAAGCTACATGCATGCACAAAGCAATAAAAAGTTATGAGGTTGAACTGTTACAACTTTGATAGTGTAAGTTTCACTGGAACCACTTCAGAGAATATTATGGAGTGCAGTAAGTTATGGTTTATCAGATTTCAATTCCCGTAGCTCACAAAACCGTTAATCCTTAAACATATTACCCAAATGACATAAGCTCTTTAAAAAAACTTTGATAGCTTGATGGTTATAATGCGTACTTCTTGCATCTCACGGTAAGCTTGTAATTTTACATTTTTTGGGAGCAAATAACAAACGATGCTTCAGGGATATTTTACTGCCGGCAGTTATTGTGGGTACTTATACATTGGTTGCGGACTATAGCTGCTCCAAGGATTAACGGATTCACGAAAAAACTTGACTTATAGGAATATAAACTTTTAAAGCTAGCGTTGGATGGACTTTTGAGGGTTTCAAAAATTAGGTTATGAACGATTTCCTAGTCAGTTTACACAGTAGGATTATATACTAGGATTTTCTTTGTTGCTTAGAGGGTACCTATGGAACCGATATTTAAAAAATCACGAAATTAGCCCTTTTCAGAACCTCACACTTTTAGGTGAAACTTGAGAATTTACTTTGCAACGTTTTGTGTCTCCATAATAACTTCCAATCAGGATAAAATGAAAAGACTTTTGTGAGGAATCGTTTCTCGCAAAGTAGGAGTTTTTTTACAAACTGGAATTGATTCTAGTTAGTTGATGAATTGAAAAACAAACTGCCATTCTTTGTTCTAAATATATTTTTTTGTCAACCCTGCCGAAAGTTCACATTTTCTGTGCCTGTGCAACATATAACCTTACAATTTTCAAGTTCAGAAAAGTAAAAACCATCAAGCGTGTGTTGCAACAAAATAGAGTAAGCACCACTGCCATCAAGTAAACTACCACAGTTAGCCACACAAACGATGATTAGTTTACTTTCTGGCCTAGGCACGTAATAATATGCTACCGTCCATCTGTATGAAATGTAAAGCATGACAGGCAACACGCTGAATCTCTAAATTGTTTATTGTGTTCCGCACTGTTAAATAACTGAAATTTGATGATAAGTGGAAACCAGTTCTTTTACATGGAATAGAAAATTTGTTTTATACTCAAAGTAATTTTTTCGTTTTAAAGATTATCTTTGGTAGTTTGAGTAAAGTGCCAAATTTGACATTGTCAAACTAATCTCATGTAACCCTCGTACTGTATAGAAAATCATGGACTATAATTCATTGCAGCTATCAAATATAACTCTATAATGAGATAGTTTTTTTTCAATTTTAGTAATTTAATGATGTGCAATGTAAGTGAGATAAATAATTTAGAGGTTCATGTCCTGCAATGCTTTTCAACTTTATTTACGTTGCCTTGAGTCATCAAGAGAAATCCATATAAATTTCATTAAGACTGATAACCATTGATGTATACTCTTTTACATTAAATATAGCAACAAACGAACGATCAATTTATTGTAGCCCACTCATTCGAAAACGAACTCGAGACAATAAACAACGACTTTTCATCAGAGACGATGGCCATAAAACGTGTCATAATTTTTTTTTCTCCCACTAAATAATAATATTCTCGACAGATAAAAGTAAAATGCTCTTGCTTGCAAAATTATCATAACCCATAAAAACCATACAAAAAGCTCGCCTCAACTCGATGGAAAGAGAACAAAAAGTATCCCATTATTTGTATTCGATACTCCGATTTTTGTTGTTGCACTTTGTAGGATTTTTTTCATCTACCAGCTTACACAGTGGCAAAGTTTTTTCTTTCATCGGGATACGCGTGTTTTGCAATGGTAGAACCTTTTTTCTTCCTCTCACCAAACAGGTTTCAATATATAAGTAAACGCACAATTTTTACACTAATTAATCTTAGTGAGCGTGTTTCTTTGTCACTGCGCCTTTCTGCGTTTCGTCTGCGTCCCAACTCGTGCGCAAAAAAAAAAAAAAAAAAAAAAAAAACGAGAAAACTAAGTACACGCACCAACGCAATCTGTATTTCCTGCGTCAACAATTACAAGTCGCACACTTTTCACGCAAACTCGTTCGCTCTGTCCCTGCGCGACTCGCGATTGAGTAGAGCTCAAAGGACGACCGGGAAAAAGGAAATTACTCACGGCACATCCACCGCGAACAAACTTATAATAGTATACATCATACTACGTCCGTATAGTATCTCGTTTCCGGTGATGAACACGCGGTGTGGTGGCGACGAGTCGATGGCAAAAAAAAAAGAAAATGGAAAACAGGTTTATTACATGAAGGGACTTGGCTCGCACATTCCTATCTATACATATTATAAGCTGCGACGCATACATACAACACTCGTGTACATAGATGTGTAGGACTATCATAAATACACACACACACGCACGCAAATACGCTAGAGAGAGGGGCCGCTCTCGCTGGAATCCAGCGGATATGCCTTACGTGTCTTGTCTGCAGTTATGCGTCGACTGCAACTACCAGTAGGTCAGCCCTTGCACGGAACATCTCGAGGTATAGACGCATCAGGGAGAGACAGGTCCTCAAGCCACGGTGCGTGTAGATATTGCCAAGCTTGCGTTCCTCTGCCCTTACAATTTGCAACGAATAATCGTACGATGGTTATTGTAGTATAATGTGAATAAAAAATAATTATTATCAAAGTATCACGGGGAAAATTATTTAGTAAAATTTATTTAACCTAGTTAAGTGAATCCTAGTAAAATTGCTATTGAATACAAATTAATCAAGTTTTTATACGAGTTTTGCTCATTCTAGTTGAATAAATTTTACTGATACCAAAGTTGAGTAAAATTTACGTAAATAGTTGGGTAACCGTTACAATGTAACTATACTTATGTTTGTACATGATGCGTTGTCGCAGTCAGCGAAGTTTGCATGAGCGTGCAATTTTTATTTAAGGTGGCTCCAGTGGCCTCAATGTTAAAATTATAAATAACCCAACCGAGGGTAATAAAATTGA